CCTTGCATTGTGTTGTTGACTTCATAGAAATCCCTCACAAAAAGCTTTCATGTGCTGAAAATGTGTTGTAAAAAATTTTTCTTATGCTTTTCTAAGATGGACTTATTAAACTTAAAAGAAAAATTAGTAACTTGGTTATGGTATGTATTTCCCAACGTACTGCATAAAAAGAAGTGCTGTGCAGTGTACATTTTGGACATCCTCAGGTCTCAGCAAATGAGCGCACAGTTTCAAAGTTGATTTAGTCTTATAGAAAGCCTAATATATCAATTTAAAATTGCACCTATGGCCACTGTCATCCACCATACAGTAGATGCCTGAGCTGTACCATTTTGCTTTGACCTGCAATGTATCATGGGAAATATGGCTTTGATAAACTTAGATATGCTCAGTTGGTCTGGTTTTCACTAAATAAAAACAAAAAGAGCTTTTTCATTTCCCAAGGCTAAAGACCCGATAGATTTATTCTTAACAACTGAGAACTTATTTCTTGGGACCTGAGGGTGTCCCAAAGTGGACTCCGTATTTTCGTCCTCCCAAGTGCTTCTGACATTTTTCAAAGTTAATATTAACCTAAAAACCTCAAAACCACATCATCTTCTGTTTTAAAGACGAAAGTTTTGCTGATCATAGTTTGTAGTTCAGATCACTAGAAACTTCTGACTCAGCTAAAAGAAAAGTTTTTGAATATGCTCATACTTAAGACTGTCCCACATGCATCCACTGTCACTGTTCAGTTTCCCCTCTGGCTCTAAAAGGCTTAGTGCTGCTTGTGCCGACCTACATTGGATCTGCAAATGGATTCCTTGCACTACCAAGCTTCTTGGGGAAAGTAGACTGCAGTGTTTAATAGGGAGGAGGAATTCATTCTCAGCAGTATTACTGCCGGGAAATGTTTTGTTTGTGCAAGCACAAGTAAACACTTGGATTTTGTTTTGCAGTTATTCTGCTTGAGAGATATAAAAACAAAAATGTCACATTTGGGATTTCTGGACACAAACTGAATTTTTGATGCACTGAGGACAGTTTGCTCAGACCAAATGTTTGATTTACAAGCATACACTGGATTTATCTGACACATCTGGTTAGCTCCCAGGTCTTTCAGAAGGCAGACCGCTTTTTACTTTTGAGCCACCACTGAAAATACCTTTCATATTCAGTCCCATGTGCATCCTCCATCATCTGGAAGCTTTGATACCAATTGTACCAGTACTTGTATCTCTCTCACTGTTGGTGGGCTTTATCATTTTGAATACACACAGTGTATACAAAATGAAATTTTGTTTTGTACAACTCTCATGATATTTCCATTTCTTAAAGAGCAGGAATGATCAAATGATTTAAACATTGGGAGAAAAAACATGGTGCAAAAAAACGCATTGATATGGTCAGTTTAAGGCAGAGACTGTTCACAGTTTTTTCAACATTGAGCTTTGTTTCAGTTTTTTTACTTTTATTTAACATTCAGCTGTCTGATTACGGGGAAGAAGCTGTTTTGGACTCTGGAACAATAGATACAAGCAGTAACTTAATCTGGTTGCATACAAAGTTTCTATGAAAAATGATGGCGTCCTGCTGCTGTAGTATTAGTTATTTATGTTTTTTGAGGTTTTTTTTTGCTTCATTTATTAGTAAATGTAGGCTCTCTATGTATATTTACCATAACTTCACATGATCGGGATAACATCACTGCACGGGCATCCCATCCATCCATCCATCCATTTTCTGTCATGCTTATCCAAAGCATGGTCACGAGGGGTGCTGGTGCCTATCTCCAGCTGTCTATGGGCAAGAGGCAGGGCACACCCTGGACAGGTTGCCAGTCTATCATAGGGCAACACAGAGACAAACAACCATTCACACTCACACCTAAGAAGAATTTAGAGAAGCCAGTTAACCTAAAAGTCATGGTTTGGGACTATGGGTGGAAGCCAGAGTACCCAGAGAGAACCCACACATGCAAACTCCATGCACCAAGACCCCATGCTGGGAAATGAACCCAGAACCTTCTTGCTGGAAGGCAGTGGTGCTACCTACTGCACCAATAAGCAGCCCCTGCGCAGGCATCCCACCAAGCAAGAATTGGTTGAACAGACATTGTAAACACGGCAGGATTTACGTCCTAACAACGTCTACATTTGGTTGAAAAGTGAAAGGTGAAAACCCGTCATTCTCAGATCGTTGAAAAGACGTTTGAAACCCAGTTTTAGTCTAAAAACCAACGTCTTAATGTTTTCAGGTGTTTTGGGGAGATACAACTGGTCAACAAGCCAAAGAAATGGAGGTGAGAGAGTTTGGAACTACTAACTTAGCTTCCAAAAAGAGGAAGGTCCAAGATCAATTGAAAAAGGCACAAGAAGATGCCTTAGTTTTGCCGTTGGTGTAAACTATAGCTGGAGCTACAACTCAGAAAGCATTCTGAGCTTTAGCATGTGAGAACATGTGATTTCTCATAGTGCTGCTGGTGTTTGCAAAGCTTCCAAACCATATCCTCTTGGCCGTTTTCTACGAGGCATTTCAGCATGGTCGGATTGGTCTCCACTTATTTAGGAGCTGCATCAAATGCCACCATCTGGCCTTCTGGTGGTTCAGCAGTAATGCCTGAAGATGGCACCACATCTGTTTCTGTAGCTCAGTGTGCCCTTTGTTGGGGTTCTATTTAGGCTCAAAAAGGGCAAGCTAAACCCTATCAGGAGGGACACCTTGAGTATATAGCAGGGGTGTCAAACTGGTGCCAGAAAGGGCCGTGTGGCTGCAGGTTTTCTTTCCAACCAAGCAATAGCACCCCAGACTCCAGTCATCTCATCAAGTCATCATGTTAAGACGGGACTCACTTGAGAAGATGACTGGAGTCTGATGTGCTTTGCTTGGTTGGAAAGAAAACCTGCAGCACGGTCCTTTCTGGAACCAGTTTGACATCCCTGGTATATAGCCTTATTTTATAATAATCAGCTGGATATTAGTTTTTTTGCTAAAGGCGTATAATGTGACTATGTACCTTTAAAAAAAAAACGAACGTGTCAACTTTATATCCAACTAGATTAGTTTTTCAGAGCAATGATGACTGCAGATGGGTAATTTAGCTCGCCCCCCCAAACGCAGTGGTAATGATGTTGTTAAGGAGGAACAGGGAAGAGCAGTGTAAGCCACGTGAACTCTGAGTGACTGCCAGGTGGCCTCTCTAAGAGATGCTGGCAGACCTAATGACAGCTTGTTGTCATTGGCCTCTGTGGATAGAACAGGGGCAAAGAGTGTCAGGATGGAGAGAAAAAGTAAATAACGGTAATGTACGGCTCAGAAGAAAGAAACCCGGCAGCTGGTGGGGGAAAAAAAGAGAAGAGTCGCGAGGAGGCTGAGTATCTCTGGGTAGAGCTTTTTCATCCGCAGAGCCAGCAGAGGTGTGCCTGAGCAGCTCAGCTCTCTGATTGGTGAGGCCAGACACTGCTCTGTTCCCTCCCCCGCTGAAGAAAGAGGTGCTGCAGGAGCGTCAGACCCAGACAGCACCAGACTCAAACACAGAGACAGCATTTTTCTGCTGCTTCCACCTTGTTGAAATCTCCAGAGCGTCCAAGGACAGACTTTTCTTTTTTACCCAGCTCTGATTTACGGCATCTTCAACTGCAACTGGGCTTAGATTTTATTTACATACAATTTCCTTTTTTTTTTTTTATTCATCATCTTAAAAGGAATCACTGAGATTTCTGAGATCCTGTAATTGCATTGATCACACTGAGGAGGACGACTCGGTCAGCATGGGCAGACAGGGACACGATAGCTCAGCCACGGCTCCGGGGATGCGCATCCAGTGCTCCCAGAGCAAAATGAGCCTTTCTGCGTCGTTTGAGGCACTGGCTGTCTATTTTCCCTGCATGAACTCCTTTGATGAGGAAGATGGAGGTAAGATGATGCCCTGAGACACTGACAGTTATAAATTAGGAGCTTGGTTTAGAAAATGATGCACAGATGAGAACTACTCTAGACTTAAAGAAGAAACCTGAAATACAGTAAAGTTCAGTTATGCATGAAGTGGAAGGTTTTAACCTGCAGTGGTGTTTTTTTGTGTTTGGTTTTGACAGTTGAAGCAGAGATGATGATCTAATTGATGCTGAAAGAGTCCGGTTTGTTTGATTAGCTGAACGGATGTTGATGAACCCATGAAGGGTTTTTGTTTATTTTTAATTATGTGCATGGTTTAGGTTAGGACACCTGCTATTCTCCCATGCTTTTGTCTAATCTACTTATCTTTATTGTTTTTTATTACCAAGCCTGCAGTGTGTTAGGAAGCAATGATTCATATTTATTGGTGATAAATAAACAGAGTATCTTGCAGTTATATACATGCAAGTCCGTGCCACATGACTGAGGCTAATTTGCAGAAATGTTCTGCTTCATTTGAAATGGAGGGTTTTTGAGTTCATTGATAAGATCTGAGTCGTCACTGATTGGCTGAGAATGTTTTGCTACAGACGTCAGAGACAGCCTCAGTCAGTGCATCTTCTATTGAAACATCTGAAGAGCAGGAAGAGGAGGTGGAGGCCAGGTCAATAGCTGAGCTTTCAAGGCTAAAGAGCTTCATCACTGTATACTGTCTGTTTGCACAAAGACGGGCAGAGAATTACAAATTACATCTGGAAAGAAATATTAGCGGAAGCCGTTAAATAACCAATTAAACAATCTGTGAACAATTTGCATCTCTCCAGGGTAAACAGTAACCTGATAAAAAGGTAGAACATTAATTATTGGCTGTAATTGTTCCATTGTTTACCTAAGTCTGAAATTTTTGGACTGCATGCATAAATGACAGTTAGAATAATCAAGTAAAATACTGTAAATCATTTGATCAGAGTCAAGAATTAAAAGAGTCCTACACAGTGATAAACCGAAAACAAGAGATGCAAACAAAGCAGGGAAAATTGAAATAGGTCTGTGTTCACCTCATCAACTCTAGAGGTTTTGCCAGTTTGATATAAAAAATAATAATTTATACTTTTTCTTATTTTTTAAAAGTAAGACACAGCATGTCGACAACAAGCAAACATTTAAGCCTGTGTCCCCAAAATAACAATGCAAAAGATGACAGACCCCCCCCCTTAAATACATGTAAATACTTCACACTGTATGTATACATATCAAGTAAAGTTTTTTTTTATTATATTTATTAATTTACATTTATGTATTTCATCATGTATTTTGGTCCCTCATATACTTGAAGTATCTCATCACAGTGACTGAAAACCATCTGATGACGTCCCAGTCGGTGTCTCCTGACCCCCACTTTAAGAACTATAGTTCCAAAATCATAAGATGATTAGTTCCATGGTGATTAATGACGGTTTTGCCATACATGTCTTTATAAATGCTGATTATCTTGTACTTACCAGTTTCTGTTGGATTTAAAGATACTAGCCACTACTATTTTTGTCAAAGCAAATAGTTTTTCAGAAATAAATCCAAAGAACAGTGGAGAATGAAAATTATTTTAATTAAACAAAATATTTAACTATACAAATAGTTTTTTGATAAATTTTGACGGGTCCAAAATGTGAATTTCTGGTTACAACAACTTAAAGACATGAGAGAGGTCGCTCAGGTGTTGCCAGATGCTAGTAGCTCTGTGATAAAGCTTTTTTTATCTGTGTTTTATTTCAAAGATTAGCATTAGCGGACCTAGCAACATGCTAACAAATAGCATGAGCTGAACGTAAGTGGGCCAGGAGGAGTAAACTTGTAGCCATCACTTTTTTAATTATTTCATCTGTTTAAAAACCTGCAGCACTTTTTTTCCCCTTTTATTTGCTGTAGTCCTTTAAAATAAAACCAGAAATAATCAAAGTGCGTTCATCAGATAGTCACTGGAACATCATTGGAAATTAGTATTAGACAAGGAAACCCAGATGAGTAGATCTCTAATAAGGTTGCCAACCGTGCCTTATAAAACAGAATCATTCCGTATTTAGAAATAGAAGTACCTGTCCTGTATTTAGTGGAAAATGAACGCACTTTGTCCCGTATTACTGTAAGAGTAAAAAAAATAGTCAATAAAAAGCTAATGGAAAATGAAGAAGGGCACGTTAGATACAAAACTAACGGTAAACTTGTTCCAGGTTCCTGTCCTGCATTGTGACCAATAAGCTGACAACATATATGTAAAGATCCAGAATACCCTCATCCCATTGGTCGAGCCAAGTGTAGCTCACGGAGAAGATAGCGGGAAACAACAGAGCAGTATGGGGGATGTACGGAGTAATTTAAATGCTGATGCTGCTTTAGGAGGCGGTGCACCTTAGAATAGTTATGCTCCTCCGGAAAAAAAAAGGATGCAGAAATATAGGGAGGAATGGGGAAAAACAAATACCAGGGTGGAAAACGTCTACAATAATGAATGTAAAGCACACTGCAAATATGTATCTAATTAAATGCAGATTTGAGTCAAATAGTTAAAAAAATTATTTCACACACAAAGGGGGGCTAAAAAAAAATCGGGTCAGCTGGCACACACATGAGGTGTCCCTTTTTCTTTTTTTTTTAGGGAGTTGGCAACCCTAATCTCTAACAATATTTTGTTTTGCTCTTATGAAAAAAAAAACAAGGCTCTTGGATGAATAGGGAACATGATTTTGTTTGTGTTCTGGGTGATTTTTGGCCAAGAGAGGAGAGGCAGACGGCTTTAGCTTGTTTAGATGTGAGTATTTCTGTCAACGATGTAGTTCTGGACTGTGGAAAAGTAGCAGCAGTTTTGCTGGGGGGAGGCAGTCAGCTGTCTTTTTGGATCAATTTGGAGGCTTTGAAGTGGAAAGCATTGAGGACTGAGGTGGAGTACGAACCCACTGTGTCTCCTGCAGCACAATATGACTGTACTCCATGTTCTATTAACCGTATACACAGTCAGAATCCTTATATATCAGTTGAATTTTGCGTGATCCTTTCCAAAAAATATTGCTGCTAATAAAAGTTGGAATTCCAATATATAAGATTGTCTCTTTTGGAGGATGTCAACAATAAAGCCAGATTTGTTCTGACATGAATTCATAGTCTGGATCCCTTTTTTTTTCTCTCTCTTTCGTGTGTGACTGTTCGGGCAGAAGCAGGAGGCAAGAAGTTGCGCAGCACGGTCCAAAGGAGTACAGAGACGGGCCTGGCGGTGGAGATGAGGAGCAGGATGACTCGACAGGCCAGTCGGGAGTCCACTGATGGGAGCATGAACAGCTACAGCTCAGAGGGAAAGTAAGGGCAGCCATTACATAAGAATTATTAACGGCTTTAGTTTAAATTCTGAGGCAGTTCCTCACAAAGTTTCAAGCTCCAGTTTTTGTTGCTGAAAGGTGTGCAGCCATCAATGTCCTGACTTTCATCTGATCTTTCTCTTTCAGCCTCATCTTCCCCGGTGTGAGGCTTTCCTCGGACGCTCAGTTCAGTGACTTCCTGGATGGTCTGGGACCTGCCCAGCTGGTTGGACGTCAGACTTTGGCTACTCCACCAATGGGTGAGAAAAACTTTTTTTTATGTATTTTTTTTTTTTTTGTTTGTTTAAAGGAAGGAATACCTTTAAAAGAAGGTGGTATTTACTTTGTTTGATCTTTTTTCAGGCGACATCCAAATAGGCATGGTGGAGAAAAAAGGAGCCCTGGAGGTCGAGGTCATAAGAGCTCGTGGCCTTGTGGGCAAACCAGGATCTAAGGCACTGCCAGGTAATTTATGTTCACAGACAAACCAAAAGTTCAGGTGACATCAGTGATTCAGAGACACTTGATAAGCAAATATGACATAAAACATAGTTGGACCAGAAGTGCCACAGTTAGATATATATAACTGCAAACTGTCAATATTTATTCAAATTACAAAGAAATAAAGAGATTAAATATATGTATTATAATAGTTATATAATGTGCATATTTTATTCACAGAAATATGTCAGAGAATTTCTTAATTTGTTCTCTATTTAGCTGTTTAAGTATACTTTAAAGCAGAGATCTTCAACAGGGGATCCGTGACCCCTAGGGGGTCCTCGGAGGTACTGCATGGGGCTCATGAAAGTTTTGGTTTATAAATATTTATATTCCCCCCTCAATTTTTTGCACTAATTGAAATGTCTTTAAATCCACATTAACATGAATTCAACACACTGTAGTAAACAGATAAATGGAGGCAGAAGATCTCTTTCAGTCATCAATGCACAAACAGGAGCTCTTTCAAGCTGGGCACCGTTTTATTCACAACACCTGTGAATAAACACCACCACTTTAATAATCCCAGGGAGGAATTACTTTAGTTACATTACTCCATCTGTAATAGTGACTATAGGACCAATTTGATATGACACAATTTCATGCAAAATACATAATTAGGGGGTCACCGACCCATCTCGCCATCAGTTTTGGGGTCCTTGGCCTGGAAAACATTGAAGACCCCTGCTTTGAAGGAACTGAATGAGTTTATTCTAATCTATCTAAACATCAGTTCATCTGCAGGGTTAGAATCAACCAATCAGATGTTAGATTAATTATTTCACTGTTTGCTGTGGTCATCTTATGCATTTCACTGATTATTTATGTGTTTATTAATTACTTTATATTGATAGTGATGAACATACATAGGTATTTAATGATTTCGAAGGGTGTTTAGGGTCTTGAGGTGCTTTATACAAAACAAGCAAATCAGCCAGATTGTAATCCGTCTTCCTTGTTTTTGTCCATTCCAGCACCATACGTAAAGGTCTACCTTTTGGAAAACGGAGCCTGCATAGCCAAAAAGAAAACTAAAGTAGCAAGAAAAACGCTGGATCCTCTCTACCAGCAGCAACTGCCGTTTGAGGAGAGTCCAGGAGGAAAAGTTTTACAGGTTAGCCTATAACCTTCTTAAAGTTTCCCAGAGAAACATTAACATCCAAAATATTTGAGCTTTTTTTCTAACTATTTTTATTCTCTCGTGTTTTTTTAGGTCATTGTCTGGGGCGACTATGGACGTATGGACCATAAATCCTTCATGGGAGCAGTCCAGATCCTGTTAGACGACCTGGACCTGTCCAACATGGTGATTGGCTGGTACAAGCTCTTCCCTCCTTCCTCACTAGTGGACCCTACTCTGGCCCCACTGACAAGAAGAGCTTCCCAATCCTCACTGGACAGTTTCTCTCGATCATAGCAGCGTGTGGACTAATAGCGTTGTTGTAGCAGCCAGTGTTGCGATTACAGGTCACGAGCCCCGGTTACACTGCATGCTTGATGTTGTGTCTTCTGAGCCTGTTTCTAGGGGCGCGAACGTGATCCTGTGTTTTAAGCAAAAACGTTGCGCACATTGTGCACGTGGCAAAGTGTGTTGCAAGCACCCAGCGGCAGGGATTGCCAGGTGTTGTTGTCATTCGGAAGAAGCCGGGATGAACTCCTTAGCACGAGGAACTTCTCAGTTCCAGGTTTTCTTCCAATTTGAAGCCATGGGGGCCGACACTGGGAACTAATAAATGAGTTCAACAGTGGCCCCTTTAGAATGAAAAAAAAAAAATCAATGAGTTGTTTTGATTTTTTTTCTCTTTTCCGTTTCCTTTTTTCTTTTGTTTCTTTAAATGTCTGCGGTACTTTTATCTGAATGGGGTGACGGTGTTCCCGAACACATGCTTGGTCACACCATGCCAACAAACGTAGCTAACATGCAGTTGAGGAGACCAACATTTTCCAAAGGGGGTGTGTTCGTGTGTCCTCCTACCTGCAAGAGAAATGCATTGCATCCTCTGGGTCTATGTGCAGACCTGCTGTTGCTGGTAAACCACCAGATAATCAGGGGCAAAACTGAAGTGGCCTCCAACAACACCCCAAAATAAACTGCACCAATCCCAACCCCATAAAGAGTACTACGGTAGTTTTTACTTCCTTTCTCTGCTGAAAATCCTATAAGAATCCAATTCTGATATTATTTTCCCTTTCAGTTGATTTGCATGGGCACAAACTTAGCTGAATAAAAAAAAAAAAAGAATTCTATTTATTTTTTGAGGCTGTAACTTGCAAAAAAAAAATGAATAAAACTAAAAACAGATCAGCCATTTTCAACAATTTATATTATTTTTCAAGAAGAGTTTCACTAGTGCATGGTTTTCAAAGGGAGTGAATGCAACATTGTGACAAAAAAAAAGACAGTTTATCATTCTTTTTAACCATGAGTCATAAGTCTGTGTTTTTAAAACAATCAGATTAAGGGAACTTTAAAAAAATATATATGTTTGGAGTTATTTAAGAAAAAAATGACAATGAGAATAAATGTTAGATATTTATTTCATTGTAAAAGGCTAAAGCCTTATAAAGATTAATGTAATGTGCAAATTGTACATTTCTCTTTTTCTTTCTTGTCCCAGGGTACTTCTCTTTGTAGTATTCGCTGCTACCATCAGTTAGTCCCCTGAAACTGTCCAAATTTAAGGACTCTTAGTTACTTTACACTTCTGCATTGTTTTAATGCGCATTTTTGTTTCAAACTGAATTTGATTTTACAAGCATGTTGAAAAGGATTTTCTGCAACATGTCTTGGGCACACCTTACAGTAACTCAGCATGTTTTTGATAACGATGATATTTGGACTTTTTGCAGATTCTTGTACAGTGCATGTGAATTTTATTACTTTTCTCCCTCACGATTAATTGAGCAGTGAATAAGTTGTTGGTCTTCCACGGCCAGGTATAGAAGTTTGATTACAGAGGATTAAAAAAATACATTCCACCCCCCCTGAAATCGTATTTTCTTTCAAATTTTTGAGGGAAAATAGAAAAGAAGAACGAGAAAAAAAAAGTTTTATATTTTATCAAAGCAGGCAAAATAAATGTGATTTCAAAGTATATTTATTTTGATGCTGTTGACAAACAAACATGCAAAAATGATCCTTTTCTGGTGCACCAAGACATCTGTACGTAATCAAGGGGCAGCAACCATGCAAGAGCTGCAGGAAGCTGTGGTTCAGTTTTACAAGCACTCTTAGGTGAGGATGAGCAAATCACAATTTTAAAAGAAAAATAAGGGACATTGCCACAGAAAATGTGTTTTTTTTTTCTTCTTTTTTTTGAATGAAAATGAAATTAATTTACTATATTTTTGTTAGTTTTACTTTGAAGCCAAGACCAGTTTATTTTTTATTTTCTATTTTTAGTAACTTACAAATACTTCCCATGTTTTGGGAGGTATACAAGTCTTACAGTTGCAGTATGTCTGAATGAAATGGAACCGAGGCATTGTTCCTTTTTCCACATGAGGAAAAACATCATTTTAATAAAATAATAAAAATCCACCTCAACTGTGTAACAGAATACAGAATATATTTTCAATTTAAAGCTCACTGTACATACCTTTAGATGTCAGAATCTGAATTAAACAATAAGCAGATCATATATTCTCCTTTGGAGCAGGAAAAATGCCTCAGGATGAAAAAGACATATGTTATTTATCCTTTTGAATGCCTTTTTGATTTTCTCTTTTTGGTGCAATGTGTTAATGCCAAGGCTATGTCTTGGCGAAGTATGGTTGAGTACAGAGATTTATGTAAGTTATTTTTCAAATTAAAAATAAAAGAAATTGATATTACATTGATACAAATTGTTGTGTATTGATTTAAAGCAACCAGAGCAACAAAGCAGCCAAACTGCATAAAGAGTTTGGAGAAACCGAAGCGGAGGAAGTGTTTTTAGCTTTCAGATGGGATTTATTTTATCTTTCAATCAACTATGAAAAGATATTCTGAGGATGTTTGGAGAAAAGCTCAAAAACAGCAGCTGATGGGGTGAACCAAGAGGAGAGCTTAGAAGTTTACAAGGTTCTGATGTGACATAAAAATAATGTTGTAATGTAGCGTTGATGCATCTTTTGGATCCAAAGTGGAGCAGCCATCCATCTTCTGAAGTTTCTGGAACATCTTGCAGAAATACACGCTGATCCATGTACCACATGTGTTCTGCCTAAAATCCAATATGGTTGCAGGCGGGTTAACTGGGCTGACTTTATATTCTGACAGCAAAGTTTCACATTTTGGATTAAGGACTATATGGAGTTAATTGTGTTCCCTTATTGTCGCAAGCAAAGAAGAGGAAATAAATAAAATAAAAAAATCACATTTTACGAGTGTTATAGTTATTATATTTTTTATTTAAAGTCATAGGGAATCATATTTAAATGTCAAACCATTCTGGCTTAAACATGTATATAAATGTACTCTTTATCAGACCATATTGTCCCAAAATTTAGAAAATTTCTATTTAAAAATAAAATCCTGTCGTAAAATCTGTGGGGTTTTTTCTTCGTTATCTTACCCAGGCCAGTTACTTATACGTCAGCCTGAACACCTAAATTCAGCCAATCATATATCAACGGGCATCTGTAAATTAAATATTTTGGTCATAGCCTCTTGATTCATATGTCGCAGCTAATATATGCAAATGTTGAAATAAGAATCATTTACTTTCCATTGAGTTCCATCCAAGTATTCAAGGGGACGGACGTCTGTGTCTTCAGCAGGCTAGAGCTAACAGAACTGGCAGCGCACACACTCACACCTAAGAAGAATATAGAGAACCCAATTAACCTAACAGTAATGTTTTTGGACTGTGTGAGGAAGTCGGAGTACCCAGAGAGAACCTCCACATGCTCAGGGAGAAAATTCAAACTCCATTCAGAAAGCCTCCAGGCTGGGAATCGACCCAGAACCTTCTTTCAAACATTTATAAGTTAAATATTTGTTAAAAACAATCACTATGTTCTGACAATAGAGTTTGCAAAAATACACAACCAATCAGAGCCAGAAGGAAAGTCTGAACAGTGTGCTGCAGCTGTGGATAAAGAGCTGAATAAATATGCTTATTTAGAAAAAGTAAACCAACACTGGATACTTAGGTGAAAGGATTTTGAACATTTGAAATCTAATTGTACTTAAACAAACACAAAAGTTTTTCTTTTACTGAGTGCTATAAAAGGAAAAATAAAAACAGGTTGGGATTCCATCAGTTCCCCACTTAGGAAGAGGTATCTGATACCATGACAGGTCAAATAGATTTATCATCTAATCTACACTAAAGCAAATGTTTTCTATCAAATCCTCAGGAAAATCTTGAAACTGAAAGATATTGCAATGAGTTACGTTGCCTGGCATTCCTACTGCCATAAAAGGCAATTCACAAAAAAAAAAATGCATCTGACACTGTTTCATGTTTCCTTCTGGTTTTGAATATAAATAGAAATGACTGACCAATAACATGACTGAGGTTAAAAATGGGCGGGAGGTTCCTGTTTGTCTTGTATTTAAGTGGAATTCATGCCTGAAACAGGATTCAGTGACGCCTTATTTCATTTCCTTTGTTTTATCAGGAAAAATGCATTTTAGGTTTTCTAACACAACATGTCTGGCTGTTATTTGAGGAACTAGATATGAAGGAATAGCGCCCTGCTGTACTGAAGCAGAACTAATTGGATTGGATGTAAATGGATTTGCATCGGACGCCTTTATCTTCCTTCTTTGGCACCTAGGCTGGATGTTCTTTGTACCGACTTTGTCCTCATAAGGTTTGTGATTCATGGAAAATCTCCTTCTCTAAATATCTACACAACCAAATGATCTGTTTTAGCCTTTTTTTTTAAACCTTTTTACAGCTTATCTGTTCCTGTTTTTTCTAAGAACCACACTGCAAAAAAAATTAAATCTCAACAAGTCATTTTTTTTCTTGAAATAAGGAGGCAAGTTAGACACTTTGAAAATTGAACAAGACACTTTATATTTAAAATAAGAAAAGACAATTATATTGTCTCATTACAAGTGCATTTTATCACATTATCTTATTTTAAGAGTAAAAATACGAATTCCACTGGCAAACCATCTTATTCACCTGCTCAAATTAAGGGTAAATACACTTAACGTAATACTTTTTTACTTGTTTTTAGATCATTCTTGCAGTGCATCTGCTCTACAGGATGCTGCTTACATGGACTTCAGTGAAGCAATGCTTTGATGAGACCGTTTCTCAGGCTTTAGATGTTTTCACCACTGGTGAAAAAACCAACTGGAGGAGGACCTTCCTCCTCATCCTCACCTGCATTATATCCAGCCTCCTGCTCAGCTCCCTGCTCCTCCTCTACCTCCTCTTTGCTGTGGACTACGAGCTAACGGTGGCCGGTTGGATAACTGGCTGCTTTGGGATTTCATTAACTGTTTCCCTATTCCTTTCAAACAGAGTGAGATGTTTGGCCACTCTGTTTGTGATATCTATTTTCATGAAGAAGAGCAGGAACCTACTACTGACAGCTGGTACGAGTTTAGTTGTTCTTAAAAACATTAAAAACACTTTGAGGAACCTGCACCTCCTGACCAAGAGCATGATTTGCAACCTGAAGGCCAAGAAAGCATCCATTGTTGCACCGTTTAGTAACTATGTCAAGATGTTAGAATGGATCGGAGGCATTCTCAAAGGGGTTACAGACCTAGGAGTTGTCAACCTGGACTCGAAATTGAAGGTTTCCCCGAGTATAGAATCGGAAGTGTTCAGGTTGAAGCTGAGCGAGGCCGAGCAGAAGCTGAACGAGACCGTGAAATATGTCCAAAGCGTCATGGAAACCATGTCCTCTGTGACGGACAAGACTTTTCCCGCTGTCAGCTTTCTCGTGCTTATGATGTTCATAGCCGTACGAATCAAAAAATACTGCAAGGATATGAAGTATAAAAACAGCTTCATCAGCAGGAAGTTTGTTGTGTTTGACGAGAAGCAGAAGGCTGAAGGGAAGCCTCATGTTCTCCCCCTCACCTCGAAGGAAGAGAAGCTTTATAAGTTCATTCCTTCGGCCCGGCCCACCATCAGTGAGGGGAAAGCTATCATGAAATTTGGAGCCCCAGTATTATCCCACTTTGTAGCTTGGACCTTATTTATAACCATGGATGCCGTGTTGTATTACTTTGTTGATATTATTACGAAAAAGTTATCGGAGCTGAAGCCGTTCAACGTCCCACTGATTCTCAATTTCAAAGTAAGTTTTTTTTTTTTTTATGTGGTTATTTTCCCTTTACTCAATGGATTATACTGAGGGCTCACTCTCTTTTCTTTTCAGGGAATTGCTACTTTAATTGGCGTACCAATTGATGAGGAAAACCATCAAATGGATTTTTCCTACTCTGTGACCTTGTTTGAAAGGAGGTGTCTCCCCGAACCCGAGCTGCTGTTTTATACCTCTGTAGTGCCACTGAGCGCCATCCTCATCACCCTGCTCATAATGGCCATAATGGCGGCCAAAACCTCTCAGCTCAGGCTAATGGTCTGCGAGCGGTTCTTTTCCCACGCCAGTGACGCAAGGGTGGAGTTTCTACATAGAAAAATCCTGAGAAAAAGATTAAAGCTCGTCAAGGAAGAAAAAGAATCCAACATTAGGTCATATATTTCAAAGGTTTGCTTTTCGATTCATTGCACAGTAATAATCAGTTATATGTAATGTGCATGCAGGAAAAATCACCTCTGATATAAATTCTGCTTTGTCTCTCATCAGCTTCATTTCTGGTGTCCGATGCTCTTCCCACCCAAAGATGTACCTCAGAGTATCACTTAAGGATATGGATCTCTTTACGCATAATTCCATTAAGCACAAATCCATGCAGGTCTGTTTAGGACACTGGAGGAGTTTCTATTTACCAGGATGGCTCTTCTTCACGAGGAAAGAACATTGTTCTGGTTATCTGAACTCACCTTTTATTTTTGTACTGCATAGATGCACAAAGCCTGGAAAATTTTCCTTTTTTATGGCATAGATTAGGAATGTCCAGATCTGACCCAAGGTATTGATCTGATGTCTCTCCTCTCAATGATTTGTTCTTGGCAAAACTCAATATCCAAGTGTTGTTCGATGATGCGTTTAAGTTATTTATTATCTAATCAAATCTTGCAGTTCTGTGGACAAAAGTCCAAATAGCTTATTTAGCACCCTTTAAGTTTTTGCAGATCCCCTTTAGCCACCATGTACATGTATACAATTATTAATG